GAAGATTTACAGCCTCGGAAACCCTGTGCAGGGTTGCTATGAATCAGAACTGACTCCACGGCCTACCACCACCATCACCACCACCACTCCCAGTAGAAATAGTAATAAAGGACAAAGTACAGACTATTCTGGTCAGTAGTAAAATATGTATTTGGCTATTTACTTTTAAAATTATTTTGGCTCTCTCAAGGAACAACTATGTGTCTAAGTATGTTGATTACATCTTCAACACTTCCATAAAGGAAATCTATGAGGAATTTCAGACAGGATTTTACAAAATCTGTGAAAAGGACATAATTGAAGTCTTCCAGCCTGAAGAACTAATGTCAGCAATGATTGGACATGTAGATTATGACTGGGAAGAATTTGAAAAGGTAAATGATACCTACAGTGCTTCAAAATTTCCCAAACAAGTACTATGTAATACCCCCCAAACCATTTTTTTCCCTCCCTTTTCTTCTCAAGAATGCAAAATATGAGCAAGGATACCACAAATCACATCCTACTATTCTGATGTTCTGGAAGGCTTTCCACAAATTAACTTTGGATGAAAAGAGAAAATTCCTCTGTAAGTATTGCATGAAAAGATGGATCTGTAATGATCTTTCTATCTATCTGTTAATTGATCGATTGGCTGATTGATCAATCTATCATCTATCATAAGTATCTTATTTGTGATAAAGTCATTATTAATGATGAATTGTGTGTTAATGGCAGAGTAACTGTTAGAACCCAGGTCCCCTGCATTCTTTCTCTTATTGGTTTCCCATTAAGATAATAGAAATAATAATTATTATGTATTGATATTTTACTGCCTTTTCTATACTGATTCTAATTCCAATAGTTTTATATCATATTCTCTTTCCTCATTCCAGTTGGCTTTTTTGTTTGTTTGTTTTAAATTATTGTTGTTGCTGTTGTTGAGAACATACACAGTACAACATACACACACTCAACAATTTCGTTATGTACAATTCAGTGACATTGATTACATTCTTCAAGTTGTGTGGCCATTCTCACCCTGCTTTTTTGATTAACTTTTTTGATAAATACTGTTCAGGACTTAACAACAAAGCTTCCCATCTAATCTTTTGAGTTCTTTTTGCCAATTTGATTCCATATTGTCATTGTTGTTAAATGCCATCAAGTCAGTTTCTGAGGCGCATGGTCAGTTTGAAATGCTGACCTTGTTGTTGGCCACACAAGGACTCCTGACTCCATATTGTTGGTAAGTGCTGTTGAGTTGGTTCTAACTCATAGTGACCCTCTACAGAGTGTCTGTGGACCAACTGGTAGGTTTGAACCATGGACCTTGTGGTTAGCAGTCCAGTGCTTATCCTACAGTGCCACACTTGTTGTTGTTAAGTGCTATCGAGCTCGTTCTGACTCATAATGACCCTGTAGAGGGTTTCCAAGAAGTGGCTGGTGGGTTTGAACCACCAACTTTGTGGTTAGCAAGCATGCCATACTAGTATTTCCTAATTACACATAGTTGGTTTTTAAAAGAGTACAACGCTCAAGGCAGACATACTTTTTTTTAAGTTTCTATTGTGAATTGAGTGAAAGTTAACAAGGCAGATCATTGGTTTTATATTCAACAAACCATATACTTTGTTCCATTACAATGATTACAATCCCACCATGTACCATCTGTTAACAATATTTTTCTCTATTAGTTTTAGCTCTTTCTTTTTTTCAAAACACCCAGGCATATATAAGGAGCTCTGGTAGTATAGTTGTTACAAGTCAGGCTGCGAACCTCAAGATGAGCAATTTGAAACTACCAGCTGTTCCGCAGGAGAAAGATGAGGCTGTCTGCTCCCATAAATATTTACAGCCTCAGAAACCCTATGCGGGGTCACTATGAGTCGGAACCAACTCCAAGGCACATCACCACCACCACCACTAGGCATGTATAATAATTTACACCACCAAAGGGCACATTCTGCAAGTCTGCCTCCCAGCCAGGCAGGCATTCTTTATTAGTTAAGCTAAACTACTGTCTGGTTTTAAGATGACTTCAAAATTTCAAGTTTAAGGATAATCTCAGGGCAATGGTTTTGGTAGTTCATTATGTCTGTGCTCCAGGAAATCTGGACCCAGGAGAAACCATTTGACTCTTTATCATGCCTTTTATCTCATATCCCTTCCTTCACTTAAATATTTCTCTCAGACCATGTAAACTGTCTCTAATGTTGTTGTTAAGTGCTGTACTGTCGGTTCTGACTCATTCCAACCCTATCTAGGGTTTCAGAGTCTGTTAATCTTTGCTAGAGCAGAAAGCCTCATCTTCCTCCTGTAGCATTGCTGGTAGACTTGGCCCACTGACCTTGTAGTTCACAGCCCCTTGCTTGTCCTTGTCCAGAGCTACTGCACTTTCCACTACCTTAGAAATAATAATAGCACTAATAAGGAGCTCTGGTAGCGTAGTGGTTACGAATCGGGCTGCGAACCCCAAGGTCAGCAGTTTGAAACTACTAGCTGCTCCATGGGAGAAAGATGAGGCTTTCTGCTCCCGTAAAGATTTACAGCTTCGGAAACCCTGTACAAGGTCGGTATGGGTCGGAACTGACTCGACGGCACTTAGCAACAACAACAATGACCGAGAATAACAACTACAACATGCATGCATGCTTACTTTGTGTCAGGTACTACACTTAGTACTCTATGAAGTAGGCACTTTTTTTTTTTTTTTTCCTATTTCAGACAGGAAATAGACTTATTTGAGGAAAAAGAGGCTTGGAGCATTTAGTATCTTGCCCATGTTCAGACAGCTGATTAGGGTCAGGACCAGAATCTGAATTCAACAGGCTGACTTTAAAGTCCAGGCTCTTGGACACAAAGCTATATAACCTCATCAGATTAGAACTTCACTTGGTGGGAACTCTAAATCTTCCATTGTGGTGGTGGTTATATGCTGTAGAGTTGGAACCGACTCATAGCGCCCCTGTACAGGGTTTCCAAAGTTGTAAATCTTTACAGGAGCAGAAAACCTCATCCTTCTCCCGCGGAACAGCTGGCTGTTTCAAACTGCTAACCTTGTGGTTTGCAGCCTGATTCGTAACCACTACGCTACCAGAGCTCCTTAAACCTTCCATAGGACAGACTTAATGACTTACTCTCTCACTTTCTCATCTTATTTCATCACGGTCACAGTTATTTTATAAAGGAAAAAACCACAAGCAGATGACCTTAACAATCAGAAATTTATTTTCTCATAATTTAGGAGGCTAGAAGTCCAAACTCAGGGCGCCAGCTTTGATGAAAGGTTTTCTGTCTATATTGGCTCTGGGTCCTTGTCTCTTCTACTTGTTTCCTGGTTCTTTGGAAATCTATATATGGCTCGTCATCTCTCTTCCCCCACCTCTGTTTGCTAACTTGCTTGTTTAGTCTTCTTGTGTGCCTCTGTGGGATAAAGCACTGGACTGCAAGGTCAATTTAAACTACAAGGTTGGTGGTTCATATTTGCCAGCTGCTCCTTAGAACCCTATACAGGGTGCAATTATGACTCAGAACCCATTCCAAAGCATTTAGCAACAAGAAGATCTTAAAAGAGGTTGACTCAAAATACATCCTCTAGTAATCCTGCTTCAGTAGCATAATGAAGACAACCCACTCCCAAATAGGATTATAACCACAGGCATGTTGCTGTTGTTGTAAATGCCTTCAAGTCAGTTCCTGACAGGGTCCTGAGTCGGGGTCCTGCCTCAACAAAGGATCACCTCGGCGAACATGGAGTTTTAACGGGAGTGGGATGTCTAGTAGGCGAAAGAAAAAAGAGACAGAGAAGACAAAGATTGATGCAAGCTGACAGGCAAGCTAGCACACCGAGCTAGCTGAGCCCCAGTCTTTTATTGTCAGAAGAAGGAAATTGACACAAAAGAAAATAATGACAAAAATGTTGATTATTCACTCAATACAGGATACAAGATCATTCATGTGATACAGAGCATAATGATTCACAGATTTGTCCTTAACATATTTTTTAAGTACATCATGATTTACCTAATAATCTAAAATTCTTATTTCTATAAAAAAAAGTTCAAGCAAGCAATTATAGATTATATATTAACTTCTAGGTCTGTGTAACCTAGGGTAGCAACTTGCGGTTTCTCAAAGGTGTTTAACATATTTTCAACACTTAATCACAAGTGGGTGAAGGTGAGAGGCTTTAGGGTTTTTACTAATGACTAAGTTATATTTTCTAAAAAAGTTTAAGTTGCCTCTGTATCTTTTGCAGGCAGAAATTACATGCTTTTGTTAGTGAACAAGATTTCAGATACCTAGCCTCCATTGTTAAACTAATGATTCTTTTCTCCTTGCTTCTACAATTATAGGGAAGGTGAAAAACAGGTTTTGACTTTTCTAAGAAGGTGCGGTCTCACTTTTACATTCTTTTAACTCTGTTCTGGTTTCCATATCTAGATATGACAATGTTCATTGCTATTATATTCCCAATATACCTTGGGGGTGGGGGGTGGAAGGAGAGTATTTGAATTAAGTTGATTATACACGGAGGTGGTTTGGGGTGCATAAAATTATCACATACAGCAAGATTCCCATGAAAAACATCAAGAGCACAACAGACATACATAGGGATGTCTTCAGGGGGTAGCTACTAGTTTCAGTGTTATTATTGTACATAGACATTAACAGCTCATGTATCTGTTTAATATTAAACACAACTAAGTAATTGGTTAGAAAACAATTGTTACATATTCTCTGCGTTGCTACATCTTGTTTTTCTGTACTTTTATTTTTGATAGCCTCACGCACAACTCTTGTTACTGGGGCAGTGACATTTACATGAGAGCCATTGATCAAAACTTTTTGCGTATTATTACTGAAAACAATCACTTTCCCAGAAGCTACAATTACCGGAGTTAAGAGCATAAAGATCAAGTACAGAATGCACAAAAGTATAATTAAAGAAAATTGCATAGAGGTGGCCAAACAGTGAGTTCGCCAAAGCCTATGAACCCGTGACTTCAAGGAGTTACTTCCTTGGCCTTCGGGGTCCATGGCCGGTAAGCCTGAGGTGGGCTCAAAGACTGGATTTTCATCCATGATATAGTTGTGCCTCAACTCCTCAGTGCTGGTTACGTATGCTGCGGTTGCCAGCAGGTTCTGACCCACAGCGACCCTGTATTGGGTTTCCTAGGAGTAGCTGGTGACTTTGAAATGCTGACCTTGCAATTCAAACCAACCTTACAGTCCAGCGAATTAATCCATAGTGCCATACCAGGACGCCAACCATAGGCATAGATGTTAGGACTTACAACACATGTTTTGGGTTGAGAGGCAATTCAATCCATAACAATCACTTCTTCCTAAAATATACATTTTTCTTCTCCATATTTTTGTTGCTACTGAGAATGTTAGTAGGCACTCTAACATTTCCACAAGTCCATACTACCAACTCCGTCTTATCTCTTACAGGATACCTTTGTTTCAACCCAATCATTGTATTGCCTGTATATCCAGTGAGTTGATCTAACACCTTTCCGTTTCTGGCTGTTTTCCTCTGACTTGATTTTTCACACAACTTTCCTCTGCCTCTCCAAATCCCCTTCTTCTTGAGAAACTAGCTAGTTATGATCTATGCAAGCTTTCCCTTGTTACCCCTGTTTAGCATCTCTTCCCTTCGTTCAGTTCCTCCATTAGCCTCTTGATCTCAGACTTCTTGAGGCAAATCTAACTTGCTTTTATCTTGCTACTATCTTTTGTCCAACATCTTCCACTTGGTCCCCAACTAGACTATTGGTTCATGAAGATAGTGACCAAATGTCGTGATAGTTCCTGCTGCATCAGGACTTAAATTATTTATTAAATACAGTAATTATTTTTCTCCTTTTCGTTTAAAATTTTGCTCTTTCTGCAAAAAATCCTAACTGGATTTTATTCCTTTCTAGTTTTTCTTACAGGAAGTGACAGGCTGCATTTAAAATGCTTACAGAAAAATGAAATAGTATTTCGCTGTCCAGAAACTTTCAGTGAAAATGATTATCCAAGATCATTGACGTGTCATAAAATCCTGGACCTCCCCAAATATTCTACAATGGAAAGAATGGAGGAAGCACTTCAAGTGATCACCAATAATTGCAGAGGATTTGGCGCAACCAGGATCAGATTCCAATAATTACCTCTGCAAGTCATGGTGGCGCCTTCTCAAACAAAAGTGGAGTCTTTTGTTCTTCTTAAGACTGATTTAGTATATGAGGTTGATAGATTTTAGTTACAATTAATTGTCAAATGTTGGAAAACACCGTAAGTGAAGAGTCAAGGACGACAATTTTATACAAAAGACAGCAATTCTTGTATTCTTAAGTTTGCTATTTAAGATATTTGTTCTTTGCCAAATTGTTCTCTGAATAATGACCATCATGTAAAAATAAATTGCTAATGTTAATGGCTTATGAATATTCTTGAAAATAGCATTGTAGATCTAACTAGCGGTCTGCAAGTAGGAAAAATAAGTGCTGACATGTGAATGAAATGTACAAAAATAAATAAATATTAAAATATTTGAGACATGTCAATGTTTATTTTATATTCAGAAATGTCTCTAGAGCTGGTTTGAACACAATTACTAAACAATTTTTGTATTCTATACTGCATTCCTAGAATTATTCTAACTGCTGATATCACTATATTGGTTAGAGCCCAGTCAGGAAGTTCTGTTTAATTTTAGTTGGAGAAATGTGAAAGGGATAAAATATATCATCATTGTGGCTATAGACCATGGTGGGAAATAGCCAGTGAATTTCAAGGGGCTATTATATCTAAAATGAAACTTGAAACTGTAAGCTATGTTATAAATGCCTGCTGTTATTTCAACCCATACACAGGAACCTTGTGTTAGTAGTAATTTGGGGAAGGAAATAATATAGGACAAGGTCCACCCTGTGCTACTTATGTTGAAAAAAGGCAAGAATCACACGAGACAGGAATCACTAAGAGTAGAGATAAAAGATGAGAACAAGGATACTAAAATGTGTGGTGGCCACCAGAAACATAAGCCCCATTGAATTCACAGTTATTTTGGGCATATTTAATTTCCATAACAAATAGAATGAAGACTCAGGTTTACTGTATTTTATTCTTTAGATAAAAGTGATTTCAAATCTTAGGGATCCCCCGGCTGATTGCTCCATGAACATTAGCTCTGCTTTTACTTCCAAATAGTCCTTCTTGCTCCTGTAGAGCCAGAGATAGCCCTTGGTCATAGAAGAGAGAAGCAGGTAGTTGAGGTGGGAATAGCTAGAGGGGAGTTTTCTATGTAGTGGAATGTCAACAGTGACTCTAACACTACTATTTTTCAAAGTATCTTATTCTTTCACTCGCACTTCTATATAATAGCTTTGGTGGAAACAAGGAATTGTAAATCTGAGGCCAACTTTGAAGATGTCCTTTTTTGAGGGTCACAAATTCAAACACTGCCAAACCAAATGAAGTAAACTGGATGTGAAAAGAGTGCCAACATAAACCCAACAGTAAATGACAAGTAACATGTGTGTTGTTGTTATTTGCCACCAAGTTGGGTCTGACTCATAGTGATCCTGTATAGGGTTTATGAGGAGTGGCTGGTGGATTTGAATTGCCAACATTGCAGTTCAAACCGACCTTGCAGCCCAGTGCATCATCCTACAGCACCACACCAGGTCTCCAAATAACATGGGACTCTGGGAGGCTTTATAGAATTTGTGCTTAGTGTTATCCCTCCCAAGGAATGAGGGAACTAGAGTAAATACTCCACATCAACTCCCTGGTGGAGATCAGTTCTGAGGATCATTTCTAGGACCTTTTGGCCTACTGAGTAGTGGGACATAGGGGTTTTCAGCCACAGTAGAAGCCTTCAGGAAAATGATGCAAGTGCTGGTGACTGGAAACTAGGTCCCCAGTCACTGTAAAAGTAAGGTCTGAGATGATATGGTTGGGCAGCTATAAACCAGTTACCTCCTCTAACTTTTAGTGTGGACTTAGTGAAAGAGCCCTTGTGGTACTGTAGGTAAGTATTGGACTGCTAACCAGAAGGTCAGCAGTTCAAACCCACCAGCTGCTCCTCAGGAGGAAAATGAGGCTTTCTACTTCTGTAGAGATTTACAGCCACAAAACCCTATGTTGTTTGTGGGAGTTCCTGCTCTCCGCCAGGGTTGTGGGACACGAGCAAATACGCGGAATCGTCGGATGAAGAAATGAATACAATTCCAGAGGCTTTTCAACTTGTAGTGCTGTCTGGCTATTCTCTCCAGCTTCTGCCACTTCTGCTTCTGATTTCTGCTCTTTGCTGTCTGCCCTCTGCTCTCTGCTGTCTGCTCTCTCTGCTGTCTGCCCTGTGCTTCCTCCCTCTTGCTCTCTGCTTCTTCTGCTGCTTCTACTGCCTTCTGCCTCTACTACCTTCTGCCAGCTCTGCTGCTTCTGCCCCTTTCTGCTGCTTCTGCTACTTTTGCCTTCTACCTTCTTCTGCCTTCTTTCTGCCTCTTTCTGCTTCTACTCTTGTTCTCTGCTGTCCTCTGCTTCTTCTGCCTTCTACCTTCTGCTTCTTTCTGCCTCTGCTCCTGCTCTATGCTTCTGCTCTTTCTCCTTTCTCTGCCTTCTTTCTGCCGCTTCTTCTACTTCTGCCTCCTACCTTCTTCTTCCTTTTTTTTTTTGCCAGCCCAGCTCAGAAAGTCTTTATTTTTTATACTTAAAATTGCACAGTACATGCATTGACACTTTTATCTTTTCTTGAATTATTACACAGTTAGTCACAACATTCTTGCACCTGGTCATTAGACAACTTTAACAAGAATACTTTGTGATG